TCTTTCCCTGTGGCTTTTGTTTTCCTGCCTTATGAAGGAACGAACAAAATCACAGGATGATGCTGCTTTCTGTACAGGTCCTAAGATGTGCTCTGCAACCCAGGGGAAAATTTTGTGTATCTGAGGAGCAAGCATTCAGCACAGATGCAGTAAGTTAGTTGACATCAGCAAGACTGTTACAGAGAGGTATCATGGACCTTTCTGGTGCTAAACTACTAAATTAATTTATCTAGGAAAAATACTGTAGTATCAAAAATAGATGTCAGGTAAATATCAAGTATATGAAACCCACAAATTAAATATATTATTTCAACCATGGATTCTTTCCCATCCTTACTGCAATAACTTTACTTGTATTTGCCTTGATAATCCACCAACAGAAGAATCAACTTTTGCAGAGAAATTTAACATGTGCTAATATTGATAAATTCTTATTAATAAATGTTTATATATTACCTTAGCACACAGAAGAAAAACTCTGATACAAAAGGTATTACCTTAGGTCCTGTTCATATTGATAGTCAGAATTTTATAATGTGTATTAAATAATGCAATAATTATAAAAATATGTAAGCATATAATTATATTGCCAAATGACATAATTAATAATATGCTCAACCATAACGTGGTTTGCATATTAAATAAGTCATTTTCTCACAAAGTAGGAGTAGCTGTTCCCAAAAGCCACTACACAACTGTATGCCTCCATCAGCTGCTGGAACGTCTCATCCTCTATGGAGAAACTGTCACAGTTTGACTCAGGTCCGACAACAATGCTCTCGATCCCCTCCCCCTCCCACCCAGGTAGTGAAGGAGAGAGAGAAAAAGAGAGAGACTTGGCTGGATTGAAAACTAAACTACACAGCTTTAATTAAAACACTAATGAATCATACAAGAAAATATATACAATTATATACAGATATATTCAGGTATGGGCAAAAATCCTGTTGCCTCCCCCCACCCCAGCAACTCCCACAGCACTTCCCTGATCTGGGAAAAGTCCTGAGGAATCCCGAAGCTGCTGCTGGAGAAAGCACAGAGTTATGGGGGTCACAAGGGATCAAGCCTGAGGACCGACGGTGATGGATGAACAGAGTCCTCCCTGGACGCCGGCCATGGACGGAAGAGAAGGGGAGAAAAAGAAGGAAGGAAGTTGTCTTCTGTGGTCTCTGACCTTCCTTTGAGCTTACGTAGATACATGGAATGGAATATCTTTGGCCAATCTTGCTGTCTGTCTAACTCAGCCTCCTACGGGGGGGTCACAGATCTCCCCATAGTGTCTGAGCCGGCAGAGTGCAGGTGCAGCCTTGAAGCCTCAGGAGTTAGGAAAACATTCCACTGTCTTATCAGCCTAGCAGAACACACTGTTGCTAGTTACAAGAAAGCTTACTGAAGGAAAAAAAAAATCAGTAAAAAGAAAAATTGGCTTTATCCTGGCTCAAACCAGGACAGAAACGATGTCCAAAAACCACAGCACAGGTCACATTAGAGACAGCGTGAACAATGGGGAAGGAAGGGTCAACAGCTCTTCCTGCAGACAGGGATAGTTTTGGAGATTAATGTTTATCTCCTTTGCTATTTTGGAAGCAAGATCATAATGACATTTTACAATAGATGTCCTTTGTGCCATTTAGACTTTTACACAAATACCCAAAATTCACTGACAAATGTGACAAAAGATAAACCTCACTCAAAACTGAGGCCAGGAAGGCCTCCAGTCTTTAACTCCATCCCCCTTGGTTGTTTTTGGTTTGATATTTTTTTTCCTTCTTTTTACTTTTACTTGTGTGTTTGGTTTTTTTGTTGGTTCTTTTTTTTTTAATCTTGATCTTTGTATTGATACCAAAATACACATTGCTGAGGTCTGGCTGTACAAACAATTTTGATTGCACTCTAAATTTAAACCATGCTCTGTGCTCCAAACCTACTATTTTCTGGAGCAAAAGTAGTTAGTCTTTAACCTTAGAGTCATGCAGCCCATGTACTGTGTCACAAGCCCAAACAGTTCCCAAGCACCCTGTCAATGGCATACCCTCTGTGTCCCTGAAGAACTCGACCAGATAACGCACTTCGGTTTGTATCCCACGCTCCATTCCTTTATTCCCCATTCCCAATTTTCGGAGAGCTCCAATTCCAAAACATCTCTGATGTTTCCAGATGAGACCAGGATACCTTCAGCCATCAAGAATCAATTTTATGTCCTGTTAACGTTCATATAATAGTAAATGACCTACACACCAAGAGTCACCTTCTCATCATGCTGCCACCCATAAAGACAAGAGCCACAACAGGGCAGTGTGGTTTATAATTGTATTTTGTTTACAGAGTAACTACCTTGGTTAATATATTCCCACCCCTGCAAAAACCTCACTCAAATCTCAGGACTCACACACCTGCCTTCTATTGCTATGAATCCGTCAGTTGAAATTACTCTGTATTGTTCTTAACTTTCCCTGTTACATTTAAGCTTTCCCTCACAGTGCAATTCCTGATCCCAGAAAATGAAGAGTGTCCCGATTCTTTAGTGTATTTAATACACTACTGTGCTGAAATGTGCTAATAGGTACCATCACTCTAAGATCCAGTAGAGGCTAGAAGGCAGGCACCTCATTCAGAAACATCACTTTAAACAACCAGTTTGATAGAATGTGTCACTCAAGCCACCGATTACATGCAAGCCCAGATCTGGGGTATGAAGCTGCAGCTGCCATCCAGGTACTGTGTACACAGGTAAGGTCAGGAGCACTCAGCATTCTTGGGGCAGAGGTGAAGAGAAGCAGTTGGTAGCCTTCTCTGTGAGTGGTTGCAAGACAATCTTGATACAAGATTCATAATGCAAGAGGAACAGAGAAACCAAGAAGTCAAATGTTGGATTTTTAAAGTTCTACATCCTTTTCTAACAGGGAACGAACTAGATATTATTGATAGCAACTTGACTAGAGAATATAACAAAACTTGACCCAGCCAGGTACAACTGCTTGCATTTTTCAATGAGTGATTTATTGACTCGTGTTTAAGTTGTGATCTGCTATAAAACCTAGATCCTTATCCGCATAGCCCCTCCTCAGACTTTCTTTCTACACCATATAATTAGAAATAATCCACAGTATCCCTACTTTATCCCTAGCCTTACTGAACAGCAGACGAGTTCTTCAGGTCATTTTCTTAGTTCATAGTCCGCTGTAAATGCTTAAGCACACTTCTCCATCCATCAAACAAGTTATTGATCAAAGTGTTCAGTATTACAGAATCCCCGACTGCAAAACTTCATTTGATACATTCATCTTACCAATGAGCTTCAAGCTTCAAATTTGCTGAGAAAATTAAGTGCAAGAAAGAACATAAAATACAGCCCTGCAAAGTACATAAAAACAGATACAAATATAATTGCTGAGACTGTAATAACTCATGTTCACTCCAATTTTGTGCTCTAAGCAACACTGCCTCTCTCAGTGCTTGCTTGGACATATTGTGTGCCTGTGCAATTCTCTTCCCACAAAGAAGTTCTGACCAAATAACAGTTCCTGCTATGAAGCTCCTGAAAGACCAGGGGGTGCAGGGGAAGAAGGAACAGCTAAGTTCAAAAATCCAAAATAGTGTCTCCACTGAAAAAAATAAACTGCTTAGCAACTGTCTGTTCTGTTTGGCTTGACCTCAGGCCAGGCAGCAAGCACACACTACCATGCCAAGCAACACATGCACAGCCGTTGTTTCTTAATACACTGAGCCTGCGTCTGCACCAGAAAAAAAACGAGCCCTGGTATTTGTGGCATATCCAATAACACACACTCTGGGCAGAGGTGTTCCAGAAACCCCTTCTACCCCCAGCACACCACATTCATCATTTGTTTGCCTCACACCTTTCTAAAGATGCTGTTCTTCCCCTGTCCTCTGCAGTTGTTGCATTCGCTTCCCACACCTAACAGTCTGAAACCTTCATTACAAAAGCAGATTCCCTCATCTGTTCAAAACAACCAAACTTAACTTCTGCTACCTGGTGAGCTCTGGCAATAGTACTTGTGTCAGAGGAGAGCAAGCAAGATTTATGTGAAGAGCTACTGCTCACATATACTGGAATTGTTAAAATAAGGAATATTCAGTTCTGCTAAAACAGCTTCCTTGCTTTTCCCTACCTTGTAAACTTCAACCTAGTACTTAAACTGGAAAGTATTACATATGTTTGACTCATACATCTTCTTCCCTTTGCTTCCTAAATTCCAAAAGAGATGATCCCTGATAATTTCTTTAGGAGAGACACCTTAAGTCAGCTCCAGGTCCACTACAGCAGCTTGCTTTGGCCCTTCTAAATCAGCAAGAGCTCCAATTTCTACATTGCCTAGGGGCTGAAAAAGCAAGGTCTAGAAGCAGCTTTAAGAGAAAAAAAAAGTTGTCATTCCAACAGAAATAGATAAAATGGGAAACTAGGTCTGAAATTCTGTCCATAATGAATAATAATAATAATTTTAAAAATTAGAGACACTGAAGAGATTACCTAAAGCTATCATCTTGTCAATAATACATCAGAATTATGCCTTTTCTGTTTGCTTTTCAGTGGTGGAGATTCCCAAAATTTTCAAAGCAACCTATTGTACTCCACAGATTACAAAGTCAGTGAATAAGACACGAGAAAAGTAAGGCTCTTTTTAAGTTAAAATTTGCTACACATTGGTACAAACCTCTTCTAGAAAGCTCATGGAGTCCACAGATCCATAAAGATTACAAGTTTAGCCTCTTTCTTCAGTTTATTTGTTCTTTTTTCACAGTTAAAATAAAACCTGTGTGTTTTTTCACCTCCAAATTTTGCAACAAGAAATTCTAAACCTTATCATAAAAAATAAAGAAAATAAAATTTAGAAAACATCATACAATCCATTGGATAGAACAATAATCTCTCAGCTGTGTTCCACATAACATCATAACTTAACCTAGAACATGACAAAAGTGGAAAGCAGATATTCTCCTAATACTTAAATTACACTTTTTAAAAAAGACATTAATTAAGCTTTATAATGCATTAATTTAATTACTTTTAATCTTGGAGACCTCATCCTACCAGACAGGTACTGTGTAGATGTTTCTTCTTATAGAAGAGAAATTACAGAATAACTATAGTGTTTCAGAAAGGTAACACACAATGCATCCTTGCTATCTTAATGTTTAACCACAGGGAAGTGCATGAGGTGTTACTATAGTGCAAAACACTTGATATCCTTGGATAACTCTTCAACAATTAGCATTTAGATGCAGTATCAATACTAAGAAGGACACAAAATTCTAAGTGAAAAAAAGCCCAAAAAACAAAACAATTACAGATAATAAAACAGAGTGGGCGTGGCTTGGCTAACTGCAAGGGATCACATATTTCAGTTTTTTAAGGACTTTAGCTTGGGAAAACTGTAGAACATCAGGGAGAGAGAGATGGCTGAAGCTGCCACATATTATTTAGAAAAAGCTTGACTTCAACAGAAGCAAACTCATCTACAACCAGCATTTTTCAGAGAACGTCATATGCAAAAAAACCTCAAAACCATCCACCACTGAGAAGTTAAAATTTTTATGAGATGTTGGGGATTGCTGAATTTTTTATCGTTCTTGCAGTATGTCTCCTGATTTTGCAGTTCCTGAAGCTGCAATGGACTCGTGCCCAGCTTCCTCCAGGACCAGTTCCCCTTCCCATCATTGGAAATTTGTGGCTTCTGGACTTCAAACTTCGTCGAGAAACTCTCACTAAGGTATTTATTTTTCTCTACGGTTTCAAATCAGTCTGAATCTACCTTAACTTAAATTGTACATTGCATAGGAACAGTCTAAACTTGGAATTATTTTTTTAAACCTCAATTATCAGCCAATTTCAAAGAATTCAAGGATACTGCATTATTAAAAAATATTTCTGAGTAATAAACACCATAATTGCTTTATTCCTTGATATTGTCTCTCTCCTTGGATATAGTAAACACCCATGCATAACATTATCACAAGCACTATCAAGAGCATGATATTCCATTGACAGTTTCATTCTCTGTTCCTAAGTTGGTATCTAGCTCTGTAAACCACCTGTAGTAGAACTTCCTTTGGCTGACACCAATGGCTCTAGAGCAACTCCAGGCCACGATCAGTTAGATGTCCCTTAGAAGACCAAACATACACTCTAAACTGACTGTTTTGTTCTTATTTGTACAGCAAAATAATCAGCAGTAAACAGATTATTGCTAAAACAAAGCAGGAAAATGTGATTGCTGTTAAGTTCACAGCATGATTCCTTTATAAACCAATTAAAACTATTTTCTAAAATAAGGAACTTGCTTCAAAATATTTTAAGGAAAAATACAAGCATGATCTGAGTAAAAGCAAGAGAGAAAAAAAATCACATGGAAGCTATAGGAAAGAATGCAGAAACATTGCTTTGCTTTCTTCAGAAGTTACAGGCAAGAAAATGTCATAATTTTGGCCATTAACATAATAAACAGAAAAGCTCTGGGACTTTGCCTGTATCCATTTATTCTTTGATTCTGAGCTGACAAAGAAGTTCTTATTTTCTCTTTCTGTGACATTTTCAGATGTGGTCTTCTGAAAGATGTCCTTAGTATCTATTCCATAAAGTATTATTATCTTCTGTTCCCAAAGCACATTACAACAGAAGGCTAATTTTTTCTGAAACCTGTAATTCAATTAAACATTGGCCAATGGGTTAAGTTACAGCTACAGAAAACTCTTAAAATTACTACTTCAGTGTATGCGTTCCCTGGTCTGTATTTATTCATTTACTGTTATTAACTCTTCAGTTAACCAGCATCTATGGAAATATCTACACGCTGTGGATGGGAAAAACACCTATGGTTGTACTAAATGGATACAAAGCAGTAAAAGATGGCATCATCACCCATTCTGAGGAAGTTTCTGGAAGACCGCTCACCCCATTCTACAGGGATATGATGGGCGAGAAAGGTATGAGATCCTACACAAGACTGAAATAGGAGCAAGAAGAACAGAAGAAAGATGCATTCCTGAACATACACATAGGCATGAGTTTCTACCATACAAGTACATATCTGGGCTTACATAGCAAGAAGGTTCCACACAGAGTTCATATATGAAGAAAAGGAAAAACACAAGAATCTATCCTCTTATAAAGCATACTACTGACTTGTTCTCTTCCCAACAGATTAAAAGGAATATTTGCCCAGAGGAGTTGCACTTTAGTTGTATCACAAAAGGCTGCTCATGCAGAAAACACCTATAGTTAAATCTGTTTTGTCCTT